ATTGTCTTTCGTGGGGGGGGGGGATTTTGTTGAGCCAGGAGAAGGTCGGGCGTTATGACGTTGATGTTTTTAATAGATGTTATCGGAAATATATCTATCTGAGTGAGCTAGTGTGTAGGCAAAGTGCAGTTATAGATACAAAAAGAAGAAGCGATGAGGGTGAGATGAAGATGGTCTGAAGAATAAAGGTCTCACAGGGTTGCCGCATTGACATTTAGTCAGTTATATGAACAAAATTTTCTCATTTGAAAATCGTGGTTGTGATATATTAGTTTCAGCGAACTATTTAAGAAATCTTTATTCATCAGTGTTAACCTAATTTGGATTTGTCATCGAGCAATATTCACATAATACATTGTTTGATTTGATAATATAAATCCCATTGAGGTGTGGGACACGTCATCGCATGCGCGTACACATAGGCTTGAGGTGCGGCTGTACAACCTCGCGTACGGATTGAGGACAAGAGCACGCAGCCAATAGCAGCTCAGTGACCCTCACTTGTTTTACCAAATCCGCCATGTTGTATGACTGAGTTCCTTCCTCTGTACACTTCTTGCGTGGTATATCTACTGAATAAACGTGCTCCGTGCTAAACGTCTGTTTCCTTCATAGCTGGGCTATAGCTTAGCTGGTTCTGGGAGTCTAGCTAGGTGTTGGAGAATTTGCCATAGAGATTTCTGAGTCAGTCAGGCTTTACTAAGGTAGCAATCCGCTACAGAGGCATGATTAAAAGGCAATTGTAATCATTTTAACCTTGGTTTGAAAAGCATCTAATCTCACTACCTAAATGAGAACAGAGTGTATTTTGTAAATGAAGAATTAAAATGGATAAAAATAAATAATATTGTGTTTGGTGATATCCATAGAAGCACAGATTTATCAAAGGATTTTTAAAATTATCACATTTCCCTAGTCTAATATTAATCACTTATAGTTGCTTGTTAAATCAACAATATCGAATAATGGGAATTTAGTCAACTTGTCCTCTCAGGACATTTGTTAAAATGTAGTTTTTTAACTGAATGGCTAAATCATATCAACGTGAATAACTGTGGGTATAGAAAATAGCGGGAAGACTTGTGAGGAACACAACTTTAGCATGACAAAGCAGAGGTCTCTCGGAAAATCAACGGTCAAAGCCAGTACGTATTTATCATGCCAGAAAGTACATATAAGGACTAAGTTCCATGTCGCTGCATGCCATACCAAATAAACGTGTACAACGTCACACGTCTGTTTCCTCCATATCTTTGCGGTAGTATAGCTAATTCTGTCAAAACTCAAAAGAATCTGCCTTAGAGATTACTGAGGCTTGTTAGTGCAGCGATTCTGACATTATCTCCTAAGTCTGACTTCATATGCTCAGCCAAGACACAATCTATTCCTGTCACCGTGAGTTCTTTTCAGATCCCACAACTCACTTAGGTGATCCGCTTTCTCCTCGCACAACCACCATTTCTTGAACTCTCTCTCCTTTCGCCCACTTCTATTCACTCAGGTAACAGATATCGGTGTGAACGCATTGGATATTCCTCTTAGGTATCTCACTTTCAACCCAGAATACCCTCATATCTGGTTCCTACAACTAGAAAGAATGCTCGAACTACGAGGGGTTAGTGAATGTGAAAGGCCTTTTTAGCATACTATATTTGTACTACCAGGTAGCATCGTATCACAGGTTGCATGAATCATCTTGAATAGCTGTTATTTGGTGTCTACCTGTTTCCTGAGATGAACGGCTACACAAACTCTTTTCACGATCGCACCTCTTCTGCTGCACTTCCTAGCTTGTGGTTACAATTTGAATGGCGAAATTCTTAAAGAATTATGGATGAACTGCCTCCACCAGCATTCAATAAGACAACCTTAATCGTCCCGATAGTCCAGGAGACAACGCAGCAACTGGACGCCATCACTGAACAGTTAGAGAAAATATAACTGTTCATATCGGACTCTTCATCCCAGCTTAAAAAACTGCACTATTGCATTCAAGAGACGGTGAAGCCCCTCAAAACACCTCAACCAGATCTGCTATTATCATAGAAAAAACAGAGGCGAGGACAAGAAATGTCGGTAGGGTTATGAAAAACCTTAAAACTAGAATGGCCAGTCCTTGGGGAAAATTCCACGGCAGACAGTAAGCACGACGACTGATCCTGGTTATTTCCCCAGTCGAATTCTCCATATCAACAGAAATTGTAAGACTAAATTTCTGGTAAAATCTGGTTGCGAAATCAGCATTAATCCTAGTTCTGCAGAATAATGCTGATTATAAGCAATCGACCTTACCATTCAGGACATTCTACCAAATTGCTAATGACTATTGTTCATGAATAAGCAGAAAAAAGCTATAATTAAAAAAATTATTGTCATAATTCACTATGCAGACAATGTAATCCAAAGTTAACAGTTTAGCAATACACTATCTAACTCAAGTTATAATTATAGTAGAAATATGGTTTCGCTTTATTTTCTCAGTTTTATTACTCGAGTCTCTGGGAACGAGAATTTATAAAAAGCCAAGCGGCATTAATTAATATATTCGGCTATTCAACAATTTTTGTTTGAAGCTGTTTCACTAAAAATCAAAGTAATTTCTCATAAAATTATAATACAAAAACGATTGGTTCTTACCGTAACTTTTCCGTAATGTTTCAAAATTTAATTCATGACCGAAAAAACGAAGTTCAAAATTATTTTATAAATGCCTCTAAAAATGTGCCTTCTTTTCATTTCTTAAATGGATTTCAGTCAAACGAATTTCAAGTTTAAATTTGGCTCTCTTTTGGGGCCTTATTTAAATTTTCTGCTGTGGTCATGGCTGCTATGGTACGTGATATTCATATATATTTTCTCAATGTTACTTGCTGTATAAATTGTTGCAATGGTTTCATGAATAACTTTGCCATTACTAAATGATAGGACGTAGAGCATATGCCTGTAACTTCTCCACGTCTTATGACGTCGGATCCTTCTCGAAAAATGCGAAAACCTTTAGAGAAAGATACAAAGGAATCCCAACAGGAAGAAACTGATGGAATTAAAGATTATTACATTAGTAAAATTGATGAACTCCAATTTACTCTAACTGAGAATATGCAAAATTTAAGACGTCTCGGTGCTCAGCGCAATGAACTTAATGCTAAAGGTATACTTTGTTCCTTCCTGTTTATCCGTTTTTTAGTTCGACTTTTACGTGAAGAGCTACAGTTTCTTCAAGAGCAAGGATCGTATGTTGGTGAAGTTATTAAACCGATGGACAAGAAGAAAGTCTTGGTTAAGGTGCAACCAGAAGGAAAATTTGTTGTCGATATTGATAAAAACATCGATATCGCCTCTGTTACACCAAATTGTCGTGTTGCCTTACGAAACGATAGTTATACATTGCACAAAATTCTTCCCAGCAAGGTTGATCCACTCGTATCTCTTATGATGGTTGAGAAAGTTCCTGATTCGACTTACGAAATGATTGGCGGTCTAGATAAGCAGATTAAAGAAATTAAGGAAGTTATCGAACTGCCCGTTAAACATCCAGAATTGTTTGAAGCTCTCGGTATTACGCAGCCAAAGGGTGTTTTACTCTATGGACCACCCGGTACTGGGAAGACTCTTCTTGCCCGCGCTGTTGCTCACCATACTGAATGTACATTCATCCGTGTAAGTGGTTCAGAACTCGTCCAAAAATTTATAGGAGAAGGTGCTAGAATGGTTCGAGAGCTTTTTGTAATGGCTCGTGAACATGCTCCTTCGATTATTTTCATGGATGAAGTGGATTCTATTGGCTCAGCTCGTTTGGAGAGTGGTTCTGGTGGTGATAGTGAAGTCCAGAGAACTATGTTAGAGTTATTGAATCAACTTGATGGTTTCGAGCCCAAACAAAATATTAAGGTCGTTATGGCGACTAATCGGATAGATATTCTCGATTCTGCTCTTCTTAGACCTGGCCGTATTGATCGTAAGATCGAATTCCCTGCCCCTAACGAAGAGGCGCGTTTGGATATATTGCGTATCCATTCTCGTAAAATGAACTTGACTCGCGGTATTGACCTTCGTAAAATCGCTGAACTTATGCCAGGAGCAAGTGGTGCTGAAGTCAAAGGTGTCTGTACTGAAGCCGGTATGTATGCTCTTCGAGAACGCCGTGTTCATGTGACTCTAGAGGATTTCGAAATGGCTGTTGCTAAGGTTAGCATTTCGATCATTATCATTCCATTACATGTTTCCAAATTCTCATTTGGTTATCACTATATTTTTACCTAACGTAGGTTATGCAGAAGGATTCCGATAAGAATGTATCTATCAAGAAACTCTGGAAGTAATCTACTATGTCTGTTTTTTTAGTACTAATAGACTCCTTTCACCCATGCATATGTTTCTTTCCCCCCTAATACTCTTCTTTCGCCTCGTTTGTATCGCAAATTTAAGTTTTGTCATTGCGCAAGCGTAGAGGTGGTTCGCGTCATGACTCACTCAAAATCGGTCTTTTTCTTCCTAAAACGGCACTTCCAAAATTTATATTTGAGATAGTTATTGTGTGCGCGTGAGTATTCTACATGATGAATGACAACTTTCTAAACATATGCACGTAATTATTGTATTATTGACTTTTTCTGTATTCTTCCCTTTTTGTCTACCCGCTTCGTGTGTGTCTTGCCCGTTGCTTACTGTATATAAGTTGTGGGTATATTTTCCACGTCACCGTTAACGTATAGGAGTTTCATATTTTAAAATAATACTACGCAGGTTCATTTAGTTTTTTACCTTAACGATTGTGCTTGACAGAAAAGGCCCTGAGATGTCTTTCATTTATGGTGTTCTCTACTTATATTCGAATTTGAATTGTTTTTTCCTCATCACCTATTCTTCAAGTCTCGTTCTATTCGGAAGGCCACATTTCTTCACTTTAGCAAGGTTTTACTAATGTTAATTGCTGAAGGCATGGTTCAAAGGGGAACCTCTCTTTTGTATGTGTGCTCATTTATTTTACTTTCTTAATTTTTTCTTCTCTTATTAGCCTCGGGTTTAGTTGGTCGTAGCGTCTTTTGCTCTAAATCTGATCTGAATTTCACTATTTCCTGAAATTAGGACTTTACTATGCTTCGTATTTGCAAAGTAACTATTCTATATTTAATTTCAATCAACCCTTTTTGTATTGGTTTGTGTATTTCTGTTTGCAGTTTAGCTTGAAATATATTTTTCATGTTTAGTAAGCGGTGTAAATTGCTAGCATAATTTGATTTGTGTTCCTTATTTTATTGTATAATTTTGTAATGCTACATATTTTGATTGATTCGTTAACCACGTATGCACCTTTATTTGTCGACCTTAGAACTTCTTTGGGTGGTCCACTACGATATTAGGTTCCAATCGTTTTGCTTTTCGTGTTTTAATGAATGCTTAACCTTTTCCAACTTTAATTGTTTTTTTTATCGTTTAGTGGACACTGCTTTAAATGTTGGTTGATGGCGTATAATTTCTGTTTCCTATTTTATGCCCCCGAAATGGCCCAGTTGTATTTTTGTTCCTGGCTAGATATCATTTAGGCTTATTTTTTCTAGCGTATAGAGTTATGGCATAGTTTCACATTAGATTAATAATTAAATTAACCTTCTCCGATGGTTTTTATAAGAAAAAAGTACATTGTGCACATTTACAGTGAAAGCATCTATCTGATTTTTAAGTGTTTTGAAGTACCTAAATTAGTGTGCATCTGTTGTTAGAACTTTTATGCATTTCTATTTATGCTGTTCTATTAGCTTTTGTAGCTGTTTTACTTTGTGATATGATTTGTTTTATAATCTCAAATTTACACGACATTGGTAACCAATGTCGGGATTTTCCCATTGCGTGCGTAATGCATCGTAAAACATATAAGAAAACCCCAAGTCCATTTATGAAAGCAATTCCAACGCTCATCTTGGATATAGAGCTGCATCACAGAGACTCAGATTCTGTTCCCTCCACCAATGTGGTATGTAATTCCACTCACTGGATGTGCCCGATAGGAATTGAACCCATGATTAGTGAGCCACTGGTGTAGTATTATCGATTAATTCGATATAATAGGTTTGAAAGCAAATCAGGTGATTCACTTAGTAGGGAGAAGATTTCTGCATATTAACAAAAGGATACTTGGTTTTGTCTAGGCCAAATGTACAGTAAGTCTTTTAGATACGTGGCTTAAGACTTATTATAAGGATGATGTGAGTTCCAAAACGAATTATTAAGCGCATACACTTGTTGGATATAAATACAATGAAGGTTACGTAGAGCAATTAAATGAGTGAACACTGGCTTAGCGCACAAGCAAGTTATTGTGTGGCCAGCTTGAATACAAAGTGGGAATAGATGGGCTGAAAATCTGTTCATGATTGAATGTTTAATTCTAATGGATTTTAGGGGCTTGTGACACCCCAATATTTGTTGCTAGAGGAACATGTATAACTCACTTGAACGGAAGTGTGCCGGTGCTTATTTAAAAAATAGCATTGGAACGGCAATCGTGTCTATTGGAAGCTAGAAAATGAGCTATAGCACCCATGTAAATGCATACATCGAGAACTAGGAATGATTGGAAAATAAAATGAAACGTGTTTCGCCAAAAGAAGCTTGAGCAGCCAGTCGTAATTTAGTCTCCCGATTCTTTAACTTCGAACTTTATTTACTCTATATCTGGGGCGAAACTCGAAGCCCACGGACTAATTGATTTTACGTAGCTGTATTTATGAATACGGAAGGTGCATTCAGATCACGTGTTGGGCTAAATAGGTGGAAGGAAAAAAAAATTTCTCTAAAAGGGTTTGAGCGTTTCATTCATAGGAGGTGATGCTATTCAGTCAGGTAATAATCTGTTCAGATTTCTTGTTGGAATTATGGCACTTATATGCACTAATATTAAATATTTGATTTGCCGGTTTCCTGAGTTATCTTTGTCCAGCTGACGCACTTGAGTGCTTATTAACTTCTGCTCTATACGCATTTAGGGTGATGCTTGTGATTTATTGAGCTGTATTTTTGATGAATTAGTTTAAATTTGTTGCTATTAGAAATAGTAATATTTTCATTATGTTATACCACTGTCATTTAAGCTGAAAAGCTAGTTATGTATAAACCGTACATGATGAATCAGACTGAGGTCTTGGGCCCTATTTCCCCCTTAAATTCATTAATCCAGCTGCAGGGAAGATGAATTGCTCAGCAACTAATTGTTCCAGTCATGCTGTATTGTGTTCTGTTATTGCGTATGACAATAGCTGTTCCAGCAATTTAATCAATGTCATTGATTATAAGCAATAAAAAAATTAGTTCCATCCATCTACTTATGGTAAATCATTATTGAACTAAAAATATAAAGCGAGAAATATAAAAGTAATCTTATTGCTTTTATAACTAAAAATTATAAATGTCAATATGAGATGGCTATTCAAAGGTTGTTCGTCATCCTCACTGCTAGGCATAAGCAGGACTGGAGATAATCCAATAAGCACAGTGAGTTACCCCACGGCAAATTGTTTACTCATACTTTTCTCCTTGAAGAATTACTGTCGATTAGAGTTAAGACATGAGCATTACAGGATGTTGAGACGTGACAAACAAATAGGTATCACCTAAACACGCTAACCAATGGTCAAATATACAGTATACTCGAAACCTAATTATTCAGTATATTGCTTCTGATTTCATCACAGGCTCGCAAATGTGTTCTAATAGGCTCGAAGGGGAGCTATTTTACATTATAACAATACCATAAATTAAATCTAGGTTTAGAACTAAAAGATTACTATTAGAAATTTTCGTACAAGTCCATTCACCTAAACTTAGTTTTTATAATTTCATATTCTAACAAGTGTTCATTATACCAGCAACGAAAGATGCAGATAGCAAGGAGCGCACATTATTCTATAATTATGAGGCTTATTCAAATTGTGGCTATGAATAAATGCTTATTTAATCAGCAAAAGAAACCTTCCCAAAATAAATTATTTTAATTGTTTATTATCTGAGCCTAATAATGACAACACCATTCACAAAATAGTGGAAAATAAGGAAGATTAACATTACATACAATCAGAAGAATTAAATAGGTTTGCAAATGAAATACAGAGCAATTTTTGGATATTCTTTTCTGAAAATCTTTAAGTTGGAACTTAACACCTCAAGAAAAAATATATACTTATAGTTTGTTTTAGAATTATTAATTACGACATAAACCGTAACTTTTTTAAATAAATTCTGTTTGAGCACGAATAAAGCTAAATGGGATATGAAAATTAATTTAATTTTTGAGACCTAGCTATTCACCGGTTTTGATAGTTGACCTATTTCCACTTGACGAATACGTATTACTCCTCAAGTGAGTAGAAAAATAATGATGCATGATCATATGAATAGGAATACCACAAATTTAAACTTGACTTGCTTATCAACTTCATATCCGTGTTCTTTGAAAAATTATTTATAGTTTAATATTAAGTTCATGAACTATCGTGGCTTTAATAGCATTTTTGCTGATCTAAAAGACGCTTAATTTGCTATATATAAAGAAATTATCTTGTTTCAATGGGAATCCATAGTAAAATGCTTTCAAAACATACTCATTCATTTAGGGCATAAAATATTATTTATGAGAACAAAACCACAAAAGAGAAGCATGTTCAATTTTGTTTGATCCAAATAATTTAAATATTATACTATTTTATTTATTTCAAATTTCAGGTCTTTTTGTTAGTTATCATTAGCCCTTTTGCCGACTTCGGGCTCCACAGAGGAGAACAACATTAAAAGAAGGAAAAGTCGAGTGGGATTATGGACAAAAGTGTGATTCCCAGATGTAAGAAACAGATAGACAAAAGTAGAGAAATGGTAAGGTTAGTACTGTGGAAGAGGTCGAATATGATATACAGTGGGGTCATAGTAATTTGAAGTAAGAAACCAACTGTGGGTTTATTGACTCTTTTTGCCGTATAAGTATACGTTGCCCAAGGTGCGCAACGTGGAGGTAAATCTATTGCACACCCCATCTTATACTATCCAATTCAACAGTAGGTCTCTATTTTTTATATTTAATCGTGTATTAAATAAAAATATGAAAATTAAATTTTCTATCCTATTTAATAATTTTAAATATTTTTTGAAATAATTTTTACAATTTATTTGTTTAACTTTATATTTTGCCAGAGCGGCATTCCGCGCTAAAATAAGAGACATACTGAAGTACTGCTTTGTTCCTTCCTTCGGTAAGTGTCCTGTCTTCTTTGAAAGTTTTGGTTATGTTAACTCAAATTATGATATTTTTGGTTCTCTAGATTTACTTTTCGAAGCGTGAAACTTATGATCTCAAATGCAATCTTATCGAGAAGTAATCCCTGTGACTCAAAACGGATACATAATTCCTTCAAACGTCGTCAATTCCAATAGCAATCCAGAATCATCCTTCCCTAGTTCTTCGCAAAAATACAACATGGCCGTTGCAGCAGACATGTTTGGCAATCAAAATCGACTAGGCATCCCACCGAATCACCTCAGTCATTCCCTATCATACCAAACCAGCAACTTTCCGAGAATGCATCCCGTATCGACATCCGCTGATTGTCATGGTTTTAATGGGTACTCTTCCGTTCCCCGTGTTTATGAAGTCTGGAACAGTAATTTTGCTGAAGGAGTTTTACTTTTGCGAAAACTGACTAAGAATGCCAAATTTGTCGCAGTCGATACTGAATTTCCTGGCATCGTAGCAAAGGTACATGGTGAATTTATGGATTCAATCGATCAAGCCTATCATAATATCAAGGCGAATACGGAAATAATGCGTCCCATACAGCTTGGTTTCAGTTTCTTTGATGATGGGGGAGTTGGTCTTGAATCCCCGTCAACAATTCAGTTCAATTTGAATTGGAATGTTGATAACGATACTCACGCTACAGAGTCCATCAATTTACTTCAGGCTAGTGGAATAGATTTCTACAAGTTAAAACGGGATGGTATTGACCATGATGAATTCGCCGAAGCGATGATTGGTGTTGGATTAGCATGCAATCCTGACGTGACATGGATCGGATTTCATAGGTAATTTTTATTATTTACTTATATTATTTTTAGTGCTTATGATTTCGCCTACCTGATGAAAGTTTGCACCGGTTGGGATCAGATGCCATTCGACTGGAAGGAATTTAATAAACTTCTGCAACTATTTTTCCCTCGTGTCGTTGATTTGAAGACCCTTCTTGCCCACCACGGAATTTTCAAGGGCGGTTTACAGGAAGTAGCCGACAATTTGAAGGTGAGACGATGTGGATCTAAACACCAAGCCGGTAGTGATTCCATGTTAACTGGTGAAACATTCTTTCGATTCCTTGAGGTAGGCTTCCTTGGTATTTGCGTGATTAATTTTTAGAAGCATTCGCGTGGTGATGACATGGCAGAAATCTTAAACCTAATTTACGGATTTAATTTTGCACCAATTATTCCTGGAAATCACAACCCTTTATTGAACGGCTCTTTTCACGAGCATTCTCACCACAGAACTGAAACCGCAGAGGAAAATTTCGATCCTGATGACAAAAAGACCCATAGTGCCGGCGAATCTGGTAGAAGCTCGCCTGAGAGCTCGCTAGACGGCCACAAGAGCAGTTGATTACATCCAAAAAGGAGTGCTGTTTTACTGTAGATATGTATTGCACTCATTGCATTTATTTTCAGTCCTGATTTTTCGAAGGTCAGTCTCTGTACATTCTCTGTATTGGTGTGTTATCAACTGCCTCTTCGCGTCTTTCTACATCATTTCCCTTCTTTCCGTCAAATCATCCCTTGTTCTCTCTCCTTTTTTATTTCCTTGTACATTTTTGTTCAGTGTGTAAATCAATCTTTTGTGAAATTGTGTTGACTTTTATAAAAGAGTGCTCGAACTCTTCAGGGTTGTTCGAACGACGATATTGTGCACTGAGCTAGTGCTTTGCGTTCTTTCAAGGCAGCACTCGCGAACTACTTCCGAATTTTCAATGCATTTTCTTTCTCCTGTGTCTCCCCTCTGTCCGGCATTTAACCCTGTTCTTTTGTCTTCGTTTGTAAAGGTGTTTCTTTTCTCCGTGTGTGTTATTGATTGGCAGCGCCGGGAATTCTTCGTTTTGCGTGTACTTAATATTTTGATCTGTGATATACCCCCCCCCCTCTTCCCATTTTTCTCAGATGTCGAATTGATTTTGTGACACGCCTCGCAGGGAAAGCAGATTCTTTACCTTTCATTATGACGGTACCTTGTACACAGTAATAACAGACTCCAAGCAGGCAGCGTTTGAACAGGTTCTACTCGCTGTTCAATATGTTGCAATTCTTCCCCTCCCATCTGTCCTATATTCCATTGTATTTTCAATCCTATTTCAATGCCTATTATTTCCGAGACTTCGTCCTACTCTGTAAAACTTCTCTTCATCCTAACCGCGTTTGTAAATACAAGCGTAAAATCACATCGGTAATTGTCTCTTCTTTTATTTAACATTTTTTGGCTATGGATTTGAAGCTTGTTGGAAGACAAATGTTACGAAATCCCTGGACGAGCGCTTTCACTAACCCCTAGATTTGCCACTAAGTTCCTTTTACATCTATAGTTTGTACATTCTATGGTCTCCATTTCGACGTAATTGGTTTATCGAGGTTTTCATATATTCTGTAAGCAGCTGCCAATGTGATTGGAGTTGGTAAGTTGGTTGTAATTCTTTTACTGTGGTTATTATAGGGGTTTAGTGTATAGTTGGTTATATGGTTCTTCACATTTTCAGTCGTTACTGTTCTGAACATTGTGATCTAAGTCGTTGATGAGACAATGGATGTAATGTGTAGCATCTATGTCCTAGTTTCTAGAGACATTCTTGGAGCAGGTCCTCCAATGTGGACTTTCTGCGATAGTATTTAAGATGTCTCATACCAACTGACTTATTGCTTTCCATGCGCTCTTAAAGAAGGCCAAATCTGGAATTACGCTGTCACAAAGCTATGACAATATGCATAGTCTCAAATTTTACAGAAAAAGACCCTGGCATTAGACTCGACACCAACGTTGAATTGACATTCTGATACATAATGATTCAACCTTTACTTTGCGTGCCGGTGTCGTTGTGGTCGTGTTTCCCATCCTCATTGAATCAGATGATACTGAAATGTTTCACTTATGTTGAGTTTAATTTCAGCTGGAGCAATTCCTATGACTTTCTCTCTTCTCAAGACCATCAATACAGCAAAAAACTTATTACTTAATTATGCTTGTGAACCCCTTACCATTCATTGTACACTTAGATCGGACTTATTTGGAATCTCACTTTATTTGCCCCAAAAAGGTGAGCACTGGAAGATCTTTTTTCATTGAGATTGAGAATTGTATATAAAGTCTACTTATGTTTTTTATGCAAATAAGAGTGTATTTTGAGCTTTCACAAACCATACAACCCGCTTAAGAAGTAATACACGTGCTTAACAATAATAATAATAACCAAGTCAAAGAACACAACGTGAGTTCCATTCTTATAGCCGAGTCGGACGTGGCCTCAAAGGAAGGGTTTTGTCATATCTACGGGTATTACCTCAAATAAGTAATCATAATTATATCATTATTAGTTTGCAATTTAGAAAATCAAATTATTTTAGTACTTCCTATTATCAAACTGTTGGGGCTGTTCAATTACCAACCCCTATGTACTCAAAATTTGAATTCGTAAGAGCTATGTAGCTGTATTATAGAAATTCGCAAGAATGGGACTATCCTATGATCTAAACGCCAGTTTATAAAAAAGAAGAGGTCTTATTCACGCTTCCCTGAAGACAGAATACGAAAGCCATAAAATTGATAAAAGGCTTGTTAATTTAAAATAATTCGGCTATTTTTAAAAGATTAAATTACAAGACTTGAGTCATAAAATCACGGGTTGCGCATTGCTCCATTTGTGGTAAGACTACAGTTCTGGTTTAGATTTTAAGTCAAGTGATTGAAAATCGCAGTTGATGTCAGTTTAAAATTTCGTATATTTGTCTTGGATAGCATTCCCTTGCTCTCAATTGTCGAAAACCAGATTAACTTCGATTGAGCGAAGGAAATGCGTTCTTAAATTGACCGAACAGTGTCACAACTGTCATCTTTGTATTTTGAGAGTCATTTTGGTGTAAGATGGCTTGTGCACATTGCCAGGTTTCTCATTAATCTGATGACAATACAAATGATTAACTACAATACACAGTTCTTCATGCAGCTTTTTAAAACTACATCGGAATGAGTTTGAAATAGATCACGGAAATTCAAGTCATCTTGAAGATGTCAATTTGAATGCTTACGAATTGAGCTAACTCAATGTGAAAACTGTGGTGTCCATAAACCAGATCAAATTGATCAATAGTCCTAGTTAAATGCCTTAAAGTCACTTGCCAGCTAGAAAACAGTCCAAATATATACGAAAATCAATATCAAGAAAGATGGAATTTATTCAAGCGATTTCATTTGAAGGCTTATTGGTAAAAACAGCACATGGGAAGAATTAGCATATATCCTAGACTTTGGAGACGAATTGTAAATTTCAGGTCAAAGTGCGGTAACGATCGACTAATACATCACGCAAAAGCCTGTAGTTGCTCAATCTGATTTTATTTCTCAAAAGGCCCTTTCCTTAAGGTTCCCATTAATTATAACTTCGCATTCTACCACCCATTCATTTACTGGTACTAATCAGCATCATTTGTCATGCCTAACTAATACAGAGCGTTGAATTGGCAATTAGGTCCAGATCCCTTGGAAAATCACAAGACTCCTATATCTAGTGGAAAAGCAGTCAGTAGGGCTATAAACTAGCAGTCAAGTGCGACGACCGTAAAATCATAGGCTGCTTATTTTACACGTGATGTTTAAATAATACCAGGGGGAATCAGGTGTTTTTAATCTCAATAAACGAAATTCTCAAAGAAACAAGTTTCCTCTGTCTAAATATAAAGCAGAATTGTGATACAACAAGACCAAGACTGAAAATAGACGATAAGATTCTCTTACTGTGCTAACCAATAAATCCAGCTGGCAAAGTTGCTTGTGCTGATCTGATTGGTAGTTGCGCCATTTGAAGGTCACCAAAGTGATTGGTTTGCGTAAATTTACAGTCAGGTGGAAGTTTTGATCGATCGTTTTGAAGCGTTGTGACTGTGTTTTGTGCACGTTCGCAGAACTTTAGGTTATAGCGAGGTCTTTATGAGCGTTAAAAATCATTTCGGTCTCTCTTGTCCTGTTAAATGAAATGAAGTTCTACTTAAGTGGGAACAGCATTTTATATCCCCCTTTCATAATATACAAGGTTATTTTGCTTTGACGCTTCAAGCAAATGACTACGGTCAATCATAAAGCACTTTGTGACCCAACACTAGAAGAGATCTGTGAGGTGGATGTCAGCATATTTCTCTTCTTTTTCACACTTTTCGCGTTATTTTTAATGAAACAAAATTCAGTGTACGCATGAACTCAGTGAGATATTTTCACATTGTACTAACATTCGTTCAAAATTGAAATGCATTTGATTAGGGTTTGCAAACATTTTTTAACGTAAAATTGAGCACATTATTAAAAATAACTCTGTAAATTTCATTTTGGGAAGGTAGAGGAAATGTATTGATAGTAAAAAGAGAGGGAGAGATAGAATCAAGACATCAAAGGGTCTAACTTCAACTGGTCGTCAGGTTCAAGTTGCTTGTTATTTGCCTAATAGGAAGGTCGTAGTAGGAAGAATTAATTCAAGGATCTTTCAGTTAACAATATCAGAGTTCTTAACCAACTGCTTAATTACTATATTCGGCCTTGCCACTTCAATTTGTTTTTTTTTCCAAAGATTGAGAAGCTAGGCTGATCTTACATGAACTTTGTAAAGAGATAAACCTTATCCGATAGCTATATTAGAAAAGCGTAGTTGAATGGAACTAAATGAGAATTTCACAATTAAAGTTAAACATATTGTATTTAACGGATGAAGAAGAGCTTCTCACGGAGGGAATTTATGGAATATCTTCCATCCCCCTCAGCTTATGTTTCTTACACATGTGAGTAGCTTTTAACACATGTTGGAGATGATTCATTGCGTATAATGAGATGATTAATCGCACTAAAGGGGTTAATTCAGACATGGCCTGATGTACGAAGAGATTAAATAGCATAACCCACAAAGGTCTTTGGTTTTTTATGTTTAAGAACGGTTAAGTTACCGACAAAATATGAAATATAGAAATCAATCGTTTGAGTTCAAAGCTAGTACTGGATCGTTACAGAAATATAAGCTCAGAACATCAAGAGCTATTATGCAAACTCTGTCACGAGTTCTATATAGAGCTTCAAATGAAAGCTTTAGGACTGTCAAGAGGCTTAAGTAAGCATTTTCATTGCACTCAAGAAAAACTTTAAATTTTCATCTCTCATGCACTGGTTTATCGATTATTTGGTTTCCCACACTCACACTGGATATGGTGACCATCTGTGGAAAAACCGCCTTTGCACTGATTGGCCAAATAGTCAAACCTAGATATGTCATCCGCCAATGTTTTTCAGAAAAGTAAATCGAACAAGACGTAAATATCTGTTTACTACGCTGAAAAGTAGCACAGTGGTAGCTGTGGAATTGTGAG